ACCGTTAAACTCTACGTCTAAGTGCAATCATCTACTTGATGAGAGTATAGGATCTACTAGCGATGGAAGTAGTCGATGTACGTATCCTCGAAGAGGATTTCAATAAAATGCAGAAACGTACATTGAAAATGCGCAACAAGAAATTAATAGACAGTCTCAACAACATTCATCTTCATTGCCGTCGGACGTACAACAAGAAAGTTCAAATCTAAATGCAACACAACGTAAACGAAACTTCTTTGATCAGTTGAAGCACATAGTATCATCTAATCTGCCACGTTTTCATATAGAATTCACCTGTGATACAGATCGCGACAATGTTCCATCAGTTCTAGATGGAAGTGATTTTATATATAAAGAACTACAATCGAAGAATGTTCCAGTAAATCGATTTAGATTGGTGAAGTGAACAGAAAAAAAGTGAAAATTATATGTGATTAATAAAGAAGGTTATGCTACTCTTGTCAGAACAGATAAATGTCTGGCAACGATAAATTGAATCGATATTGTTGTTCTAAAAGCCAAAATTTATTCCGAACTCATTTGCACTTGTCATTTGATGTGTTCCACATGAACTAGATGAATAGTTTGTTGCAAATGAAATACTTACGGTGTGCCAAAAGTTCTGATCAGAGTGTTTAAAGAATCTTGTCGGATAAGGTAACCTATTCAGAAAGAAAATACAAATATATTATAATGTAGAGCTTTTCGAGGCGCACCGAATGGTACATAGTAAATCCTGTTTTCATAAAAATTTCAAGGAACTAGATTCAATGTACTGATCGACGACTATACATCTGTACCCGTCCATATCCGCACCCATACTCAAGTATGATAAGTTAATGATTATTATGGTTCTTGGTGTTACTTGAAGGTAAGGTATGGAAAAAAGTTCGGTGCAATTTTTCTATCGATATAAATAGAAAAATTTCTGAGAACTTTTTTTATATATTATATCATAAGATGCAGCGTGAAAAGCTCTACAATTTACATAAGACAGCTTCTCTTACAGTTGCACTTTTTGTTTTCAAAAGCGACCAAATTCGAAGCAACCAAATTTCGACGTTGCAAAAAAGACTTTTTTTTTGATACACGACGGATTTTGTGATTTTTATGTCATCTTTCATGTTTTGTAGATTCTAAAAACAAAAAGTGCAACTATAAAATAAGCGCTCTTATGTAAATTGTAGATCTTTTCATGCTGTATCTTATGATATAATATATGAAAAAAAAGTTCTCAGAAATTGTTCTATTTATATCGATAGAAAAATTGCAGCGAACTTTTTTACATATATTACATCCCTTCTGTATCGTCTTCATCTTCTTTCTTGATTATGTTTCGTATTACTATCTTTTTTCTCTGATTATTTGTTGCCATGAGTTTATTCTTATGATTTTCTTTGTGATTGTCTTGCTATAATGCTCGGTTATGGACTACTTGTTATGATATCACTGAAAAAGAATAAAAACTTCCACTTTCATCTTATTTCGAGATGAAAGCCACTCATGCAAACATTTAGTATGTTCTTAGAGTACCAATCTTTCCATTCGTGTCAGAAAAATCCAAGTCAGTGAGTAATAGTTGAAACAATTAATATGCGATAAAATGATAAAACGAAGGCTACACGAGCTATGAGTGTTACTCTTCATTTCATGTACACCCAAGAAATATAATTGCGTTCCAGATTGTTCAGGAACAGTAATCTATTTTGCGTTCTGGCTCCCAAGAACAAAATCTGAAAGCGACACTCTTAATCATTGCTTTTATCAACATAAACGTTATTAACGATTTTCTTTCTTCTCAGAATAGTGTTCCTTACAAATGATTATAACAAACATTGGTAACCCAATTGGAAAGAGTGTAACCTTTCAATCTTAGAAAACTTTCAATATTTCCTGGCAGAGCCGAAATTTTCTTTGCATTCTGTTAAAAGAAAGATATGCTCTCTTTGCAACGATCGCAATTCCTCTCTCCAATATAGGATACTTCGGACCATTGTTGATAATAAATGTAATCGAATTCTATAAGAGAATTGTTTCTTTGATTTGCTTTTGCAGAAGTAACATCGACGAGGTAATAAACGCCATCTCTACAATAAAGCAGCATGTTCAATCAGAGTATTTATTCAAGAAATGACTATTAAATATTTTCAAGTAAAAATATGAGGTTGAATCGGTTCAAAGAGGAGTTTTTTAAATGATGATATTATAAATCTTTATTGAGAAAGTGTAAAACTAAAGTTGATGAACATCAATTTTATTAAAACAGTTCTAAATAGGTGCTATTTTCGGAATATTATTGAAAACAAAATATGATTGTGAAGACATTGATTGTAATTAGTTACAAGAATATGTAAGAAAATGAATAAAAATGGTGATTTATCATCTAAATATCTAGAATCATTTCAATAGCTGGTACTGTTGGATTTCGTTCATCATCAAAAAGAAATGCATCATAGAGCACATTAATCTTTGTATTAATATCAATATTTGTTAATTTATTTATTTGAGCACGTTTACTTCTGACCGAAACATGTTGATTGATTTGACGTAAGTTATGAGTAGAGTCTCTGTAGGCAATTGATGATAAGGATTCTGCATTTGGTTGTGCCCATACGAAAATATAATAATTATGTTGAAGTTGAAAGGTAATAGGAATAGTTATCCATGTCAATGTTGTTAAATGTTTATCACTTGTCTTGATGGTTTCTTTCTGGACAAGAACATCACTATGATCCAAAATATAAATAGTTAAATCAGAATTGAATGATGCCACTTTAACTAGTATAGCATTTATTGTTAATGGTACAGATAAATGAAGACGATAACCATAAGCATAAATTCCTTGAAATTCTTGATATTTTTCCTCACCATATGATTCCGATAGTTTTAGTAACGGACGAATATCAATGCTATTAGTTAAAAATGTTTCTGTTGATAAACTACCTAGGTCTTCGAGTGTTCGTTGTATGCGTGATAAATTACTATCAATAGTAAAATGTTGAAGATCAAAAATGCAACCATACATTAATTGATCACATTGTTCTTGAATTAATTGATTATAATTGATAACATCATTCTTCATTTTGACTAATTGAAAAAGATCTTCAGTTTTTAAAATTTGTTTTGTAAATAATTGCCTGATTAAAATAGCTTTTAAATGATCTTCAATATTACTTTTTTGTGTTTGAATAATTTCTTGTTGAACAGCATCATTTTTTGTAACTGTACTAATTAAATATTTCTTTCGTTCTTCTAAAAGAGCTTGTAATTGATTTATGGTTTGTTCAATATGATTTTTTATTTTAATATGTGTTTGATAATGAGTATGATAAGCTTCTGTAGTTTTTTTATTTAATTTTTCAAGAATTTCTTTTGTTGAATTGAGTTGTTGTGCAGATGAATGAAGTTGAATTTTCATTGTCTGTGAAATATTATCTAAGGTAATAAATGAACGATGTTTGTGTTTAAATAAAAGACAATCACTACAAACAGGTATTTGACAACGATTACACCAATATTTTTGTTTTTCTTCAATATGTTCTGGACAAAATTGATTGAAATTTTCATTGATAATTATATTGATTGAATGAGTTTTAAATTGATTTATATCATGTTCAAGTTTAAGACATATTGTACAAAAATTTTTTGAACAAGTTTCACAAATAAATTCGGATAAAATTTTTTTACAATGATCACATTTTGTTTGTGATGACGATGAAGATTTGTAAATACATTCAACAAGATCTTTAGCTATTCGATTAACTGGTAAATTATTAATTATAGATCGACGTATAAACGTATTGTCTCTCATAGGACATTGACCAATTCCTTCTGTACACAACTTTTCAATACATTGATAACAGAAAGTATGTGAACATGGAAGATAACGAGGATCATTGTAAAAATCCAAACATATAGCACATTTAACTAGATTTTCAACTGTTATACCGCTGATTGTAGTAGTTGTCGATGCCATTGTCATATTTCTATTTTTGCTTTTATGTAGAAGTAACTTTATATCTAATTCTTTATCACAATGTAAATACAAAGAAAAGCAGTGTGTTTTTTTAATGCAATTTATTTATTTTTCTCTTTCATTCTCAGTCTTCCGGCCATGTTTTCTTTTCGACAATCGAAATTCAATAAGATTTCTTCATACTTTTAAAAACACGTCGATGACTACATTTGACAACAGAGGTGTAGCGTCACTAAAAGAATTTCTTTCAATTTTTACAATGAAATCAAATAACGTTAACTTAATTCTGTGTGGCATTTGCTTTAAGTTATTTTTCACGTGAATCACTGCTTAGATTGAAAGGATAATGTCATTAGGCCACTTATGTCTTATCTATCTGTAACCTAATTATAGTCACCATCTAGTAAGGGTATGGATATGAGTGTGAGTGTGTTTGGGAAGGTGGATGTGGGTGTGCATCTTCAGGTCACCCACAAAAATATCCACACGAACACCTGTTACCCGTAACAACTCTGGTGTGGGTGAAAAGATGATTCATACTCACAGGTGCACATACCCACAGGATCTTAAATGCAATGCTTCTCCTGAAATATTTAACTTGTAGTTTTCTCCAAGGGATGTGGCGATAAGAATCAATTTATTAGTAATGACGATCAACATCGCAGTGTGATTCAGTGGTCAAAATAGCTAGTCTCCAATACAAAAATTCACACCAACCTAAGCACATTCCACTTATATCTAGCATATGTGTATATGAATGTTGATCGCAGTAAGATATGATCATCGGATTCTTTTTTGTCTTTTTGATCGATTAAGTAAGACCTTTCTGCATTAAAACTTACAAGTCGCTTTTTAACATGAACACATAAGGCATTGTTGATGGTTAAACTTTTTTAAAACTACTGACAGAATATGTGTCTTCATTCCTATTTTTATCTCTTGGATGCACAAGCATATTTTCGTTTTTTATGATTAGTTGGGTTACCAAAAACATTATTAAATTGATCAATCATTTGGCTTTTTAAGCCAGAAAAATCAATTTTCATAGTTTCAATTAGGCTACAGAGATACACTCGATAGGATGCATCTTAATATCGAGTTTTTCAAGAAAGCTCGATTGTGTTTGAAGTTGGCAAAATAATCCGAAAGAGTGATATTTTTTAGCAAGACTATTATATTTCATGTTATTAACTGAACCATAATGAATGAGGAAGTCAGTAGGTATCCTTATCATGAATGTGTCTAACTAAATCTAATTTTGCTGTAGAACTGACACGATATGAACATGAAAACTGTATGAATGTCATTAAGTATTGTTTTGTTCAATTATGTCGGATATTCATATATAACAGCAGAATAATTGTGAATAAGACTAATGTTAATTGCTATTGAAATTCAAACATTATCGATGAACCATTGCAAAGATCATGGCTATAAAATAAGATGGCGAATAAATGTGAGACAACACAAGATTATATAGGATGATGGAGAATTTCAAACTCTATTAGAATATATAATTGCTTTTTTTAAAAACATAATTCTATAGTGATGAAAAATTTAAAAAACTAATTTTGATGATAATGACAAAATCAAGTTTGTGGGAATCTGGACATGAGGATGTCTTCATTCCACTTGATTAATTTTCCAAGAGATAAAAGCAAGGTACCATCAAAATACATAGTTTGATAGAGATTTCCAAGTGCTATCGAATGGCATAATTACTTTTCCTAATAGGTCGTTTTCGAGTATAAAAAGAGGTCAAATATAGTGGCTAACTTTTGCTTTCCAGGGGTATATATCTTACAGAGTATTGAAAAGTCAATTCAATAGTTATATACCTCGTAGCAGATCTTGATTTTAAAAAAGAAAACATTCTGATTGATTCTAGGTTCGGCGAATAATTATGATGTTTTAGATAGATCTTCTATCCTTAATGATCAATTCGATATATCTTTTGCTACAATTTTGGAATTCTATTACTTGATAACATCTAGTCATTCTTTATTTTAGTGTTTCGATTTATTGATTGTACGCCTGCGTCCTCTATTTGTTGTGATAATAATTGGTTAAATGCGTTCTAAAGTTTATCCATCTTCTATCGAAGGAAGTTTCTCGTGTGCATTTATTTGTTTGCGATAAATATTACAAAACTCCAGATCTATTCCAAATTCATATTATCAATATTTCTAGATCACATCGTTAATTAATAATTAAATAATGCCAACAAAGTATGTCATTTTCTTTCCTTTTTTTTCCTGTTATTTGTGATGTTTTTCTTATGAAATTCTTTTGTAAATATCTATTTTTTTTTGTCTCAAATGAAAAATCTATATTGTTTTGCGCGTTGTACATGTTTTTTTTTCATTTTGGGCTAAATATTTCCAATGAGAAGCGCACGCCATTCTTCTTTTAGACGATCATCAACATTCAATCATGCGTGCAAACAAAATTAATGTTATTATTTTAAATATCTTCACAAACACACATACACAAGACTTAAATATGATTGACAAACTTATTCATCGCTTATGACTGGTAAGAATAAATTTTTATTCCTTTATTAATTCAGCATAAAAATAAGATTTTTAAGATCAAAATTCTATGATTTAAAAGTCCAAACAGAAATAATCGAAGAGAAATTTAGGTAATTAATAAGAATGTTTATGTAGATGCTTATTTGATGAGATATGAATGATATTATGATTTATATCATTTTTTTTTCACGAATTAATTAAAACAAAGGTGAGACTTACAGAAGTTTGTCTAATCGTACATTAGTTATCGAAGATGAGTCATAACATACGGGTTTCGTAAGAGATAGTTGATAAGAATTTAGAAATTTTCAAAGCATCCAATAATTTTTAAATTTAAATATCAATACTTTCCAAAGTTTATCTTGTAAAAATAAAATCACAATTCGACTCATTCTTTGCTATCTAGTAACGGACAAATCAATTTTTTTACCGATCTGCAAAAGGTATATGCATGATTCTCACTTATAGCTAGGAGTTACAAGATTTTCAACCAGGTCTGAAATAAACTTCACTAGTCCCTATCAAAAGCCTTATTTCTCTAATTAGTTAGTACTACGGAATGTAGCAATTAATTAAAGAAATTGGGATTAATGAAGTCAATTTAAGACCGGACTGAAATTTTGGGCTCTCACAGATAGCTGTCGAAGGACTGTGGGATAGGAATAAGGTATGTAATCATATCATTCTGTTAGATTTTCTTCGATTATGAGCTGATGAGCAGATCTATACGGATTATAAGATCGGAAGTATTCATCTCTGAGAAATAGGAAACTAACTTTATATTTCTGTTAAGATAATTAAAATATATTCGTTTTACTTCTGAATTATGTACAAGCTTCTATAATGAAATCATTCAGCAAAATCATATCGATACATATATAATAACAGTTCCCTTCTGACTTCTCCAAAGCTTGGAAATTTCTTAGCTTAAATATTGTGCTAACCGCAACTGTTCGTATTTATATGTAGGATCCATGGAATACTACTAGAGATATCGATAGTCAATTGCTGATTTCACAGAGACTATGATAGATATTCTGAAATTGATCACACAGTTCGAATATAATGAAAACAACGCAAACAAAAAAATTTTCATTTGGTTAGAGAAGTTATCATTACAGGCTCAAGATATACAATTAGATGAAAGAAAAAAATACAGTGGTCGCAAAAAGTACTTAAACTTTAATCCTTTAGTCTCATAATTTGACCATAAATAGAGTATGTTGAACTCTGATCTTAAGGACTAATCAGACGAAGACATCTCAATTTACAAAACAAATCTCATGACGTTAGACCTTCTCATTCGATAGCACAGTACTGTGAGTGTTGAAGAAGATATACACCCACACCCTTCTGGAGATTATTGGATCTCTTCCTTTAGAAACTTTCCATCTATGAACCTATGATTAATTTTATTCGGGAAAGATTAAATATAAAGCATTGTTAAGTGTCGATATTGAAATATAGATCAGGCTTCAATTGAAGAAGTTCTCTCATTTTATTTTATATGTTTAATTCTACAAATATTTTTCTTTATTTTCATAGATCAGCTTAAAATGTCCTTTATATTCAATCAAGTTTTTATTAAATTCATTTATAAGATTCAATACAAAATGATCAAAATAATATGACATATTCAATTATACAATCAAATTATTAATTCAATATCAATAAAAATTGGACAATAAATCTTTTATATCTTGTGTGCTTCTTTTTTCTATCTGCGCGTTATTTTATCTTATTAAACAAAACAAAAATAATAATAATTTGAATAAATTTTATTTAGAAAACGTTCATCAAGTTCATCATCATCATCCGATGGATCTCCAGAACATCGTTCATCATCACATCGACCAAATAGTGAACGAGATAAAAAACGTTCTCGACGTTCATCAAGTCGAGATAGACATAGACGTGATGGAAAATCATCAAAAAAGTATGACACAAAAAGAAACAAACAAATATTTGCATATTAAAATAAAATCTTTTTTTTCTTTTCGTTGTTAGACATTCAAAAAAAAGTAGCAAATCTCATCGTACATCACGATCAAGATCTCCACTTCGAGAAAGTTCATCAACAACTGATAAAGAACGTAAAACATCATCACAAACTTCTACAAGTCAATCAACACCAGTAACAACAACAAATACAAATGAACCTCTTGATAAAGTAAGAATTTCTTTTTTTTTTTGTTTTTATTTGTAATTTGTTTTAATTTAAATTTTCTCCAATAGGAAGCTGAACAAAAACGTCTTGAAGAAGAAATGCAAAAACGTAAAAATCGTATTGAACAATGGCGTGCTGAACGTCGAATGATGCTTGGTATCGATAAAGTCATGCAACAATCAGTTGTACAATCTACAAAAGTAAGAAAAACAAGTTAAATTAGCGAAATTTCTACATATTAAATTAGAAAATGATAGAAAGTTTACATGGATGAGTTGAGTTATTTATCATAAGACTAAATTTTAATTGAATTTACTTTAAGGGTAAAACTTGGTCACTCGAAGATGAAGGTGATGAAGATGAAGAAGATTTACAAAATGTTGTTATATCAACAGCAGATCTTAAACGTGATGTTGCTGCAGCACGTGAAACATTAATGGCTTCACAAGCAGATAAACAACGAGAAGCTTTAGAACGTGCAGCACAAGCAGCTGCACTTGCTTCAGCTGCATGTGTAAATGTTGAAAAAACCGATGATGAAGGAGAAGATCCTTTAGATAGATTTATGGAAAATATTGCAAAAGAAGTTAAAAGTTTTCGTGGAACAAATGCTACAATTATTTCAACAAAATCAAATGAAAATAATACAAAAGCAATTACTACAATTAAACAAGAACAATCATCGAATAATCCCAAAGGATCAGTTATTAAAATTATTACAAAAACAACTAAAAATGATGTAAGAATAATAATTTCACTAGAATTTGATGTATGAAGCTCTAGTACGTGAGATTGAGTTTAAAAGTAATATAGGCTTGGATTGATCTTGAAGTCTTGTATGTCATTCCAATAGAAAACAGTCTTTTAAACATATTGCCATTCGTTGAAGATAAGTCATGGACATTTTATTTTATTTAGAAAACTGAGGTTATAAAATGAATTATGAACAAATGAGCTATGAATACCCTAAAAGAGTTTGTGATATGAACTTATCACTACGGAGATCCTACACTTTTATGATATTCTTTAAATGAATATTGTAGTAACAGAAAAGCTGATTTTCGGATTTCGACTTGAAACTTTGCATAGAGACAGGCCTAGTTTTTTGTGGATGTTTTATTCATAACTCATTTTAGTCTCGACTCAAAAGTGATTTATCAATATACTCTATACTTTTCGTTTCATGATACTTCGATAAATGTTAAAGATTTTAGTACAATCATAATGAAATCTCGTATGTGATTAACTAGATGGAACAATATTCATTCAGTTCACGAAATTTTAAATTATCTAAATAAACTCTTATTTTATTTTATTTTTTTATTTCTTATAGTCAGTTGAATCAACTGTTACATCAACGAATGAATCAAATAATGGTGCAGGACCAACAATGAATGGTCATCATAATGATACATCAATAGTTAAAACTGAATCAATGGATACTAGTGATCAATCTTCGTCAGTTCCATCACGTGTTACAGTACGTAGTGGTGTAGCTAAACGTGCTAAAGAAAAAGGTCTTATTATGGAACAAGATATTGATGGTTTAGAATATTCATCAGAAGAAGAAGGTCCAAAACAAAATGAAGATCTTGATGATATATTTACTATGAGTAGTAAAAAATCGAAAGCAGTAAGTTAAAAAGTTAAATTATATATTTATACACATATTCAATTCTAAATTTTTTTTTAAAAAGGATTTGATTATAACCAATCATGATAAAATATATTATCGACCATTTCGTAAAGATTTTTATACAGTTGTACCTGAAATAGCTAATATGACAGATGCCGGTAAATAGAATAGAAACAAAAAATTTATTCAATTATTAAAATTCTTGTTTTTTTTTTTTTTGTAGAAGTCGCCGCGTATCGAGAAGAACTCGATGGTATTAAAGTAACTGGTAAACGATGTCCGAGACCAATAAAAACTTGGTCACAATGTATAACATCTGATAAAATTTTACAATCTTTAAAAAAGTAAAAAAAAAAAAAATTTCTTTTCTTGATTCTGAAATAATATTATTTTATTTAGATATAATTATGAAAAACCAACACCTATTCAAACTCAAGCATTACCAATTATTCTTTCTGGTAGAAATATGATTGGTATTGCTAAAACAGGCAGTGGAAAAACATTAGCATTTCTTCTACCTCTGTTTCGTCATATAAAAGATCAACCACCATTAGAAGGTGATGATGGTCCGATAGGTAAAAAAAGTTTCAAAAAAAAAAAAAAAGATATTCATTTTAAATTTTTCTTAGCTATTATTATGACACCAACTCGTGAATTAGCATTACAAACAACAAAAGAATGTAAAAAATTTGCTAAATTATTTAATATTCGTTGTGTTGCTGTTTATGGTGGTACAGGAATATCAGAACAAATTGTATGTTGAATTTTGTTTTTTTTTTATAATTGAAAGTTTTATTTTAAATTTTTGTTTTTAGGCAGAACTTAAACGTGGTGCAGAAATTATTGTATGTACACCTGGACGTATGATTGATATGTTAGCTGCTAATGGTGGTATGTAGAAAAAAAAATATTTATTCTTTGATTTTTATGTATTTCATATTGCATAGGTAAAGTAACAAATGTTCGACGAGTCACTTATGTTGTTATTGATGAAGCAGATCGAATGTTTGATATGGGTTTTGAACCACAGGTATGGAAAGAAGACGTTTGTTTTTTCTTCTGTAAACTGAGTGTGCTAAACCTGAATTGTGATTCGGAAAATAACTAAGTATAAATATTATCGTTTGTTTATATTGTAGATTTTCGTACCCGAAGGCAACATAGATTTTTTTTAGTTCATGCATTATCAACAAGGATAATAAAGCTTGTGCAACTAGTGGAGAAATTCGGATGGGTTATATTGCTTAAAAAACACATCGACTTGTTGTAGGAAGTTATAAAGTGTTTTTTTTCAAAATCGGAGAAAGATGCAGTCAACTTTTTGGAAAGCAGAAAGGGTAGTCACACTGCTCCTGTCTGAAATCCTCTCTTTTTCACTTACTGCAATTTCCCTATTGAAAAAGATGGTAGTTAAAATTGAAGCCGAACATTCGGATTCAATGGATACGTATTAAAAATATAAATAATATCTACAATTCTTGAGCGATTCATAGACCGAATCAATGAGTCTAAATAGCCCTATCGTTTTAACATATTAGAGTATCAGTACTAAAGTTTTGTTCCAGATAAAAGTGCGACTGCTCAAATTAAAGTTTTGACTAGTCGTTTTATTGATGATTTATCGGTGAATGCATAATAAAATTACGATAATCTCAGATTCATTTCGGTTTAATAAGAATAATTTATTGTAAAAGATTTTAGATTATTTGAGATATGATAGAAGAATGTTTTACACGTCACGCATATACAGTTTATGCAAAGTTTCAAATCGAAACTCTGTTTTCCTGATAGGATACCACGGCATTCTGCCAAAAAAAAATACAATACCTAGGCAGCAATAAACTATTAGCTTGAGCTTTCCCCTTCAGACTATTCATTAAAATGTCCTTCCGACCAAAAAAAATTGAAATCAATTCAAGACCACTGTGGTTTCATCCATGTGTTCACTTTCTTCAATATTAATCTATACTTACATGAAAAGTGGATTTCACTAACATGTTTATCTTCTATTCTCAAATATTCTTTTTTGTTTTTTTTTACTAGGTGACAAAAATTCTTGATAGTATTCGACCTGATCGTCAAACAGTTATGTTTTCAGCAACATTTCCTAAACAAATGGAAGCATTAGCACGTAAAACTCTTCATAAACCAATTGAAGTTACAGTTGGTGGACGAAGTATTGTTTGTAAAGATGTTATACAACATGTGGTAAGTATCAAAAAACAAATTAAATAAATTTTCTTCTTCTTATTATTATTATTTTATAAGTTTATTCTTGATGATGATCAAAAATATTTAAAATTACTTGAATTACTTGGTATATATCAACCACAAGGTTCAGTTCTTGTATTTGTTGATAAACAAGAACATTGTGATGAATTAATGAAAAATTTACTGAGAAATTCTTATCCATGTATGTCATTACATGGTGGTATTGATCAATATGATCGTGATTCAACAATAATTGATTTTAAAAGTGGTGATATGCCATTAATGATAGCAACATCAGTTGCTGCACGTGGTTTAGATGTTAAAGATTTAATACTTGTTGTTAATTATGATTGTCCTAATCATTATGAAGATTATGTACATCGTTGTGGACGAACAGGTCGAGCAGGAAAAATTGGTTATGCATATACATTTTTAACACCAGCACAAGAACGACATGCTGGTGATATAATGCGTGCATTAGAAACATCAAATACACCTGTACCTGAAGAATTAAATTTATTATGGGAAAATTATGTTAAAAAAATGGAAGCTATGGGTAAAAAAGTTAAAACTGGTGGTGGTTTTAGTGGACATGGTTATAAATTTGATTCATCTGAAACACAATTAAAAGATGAACAAAAAAAAATGCAAAAAGTTGTTATGGGTTTAGGAGATTCGGATGAAGATGAAGAAAGTCAAGATGTATGTTTAAAATTTTGAATATTTTAAATAATATTTCTTTTTTGTGTGTTTTTCGATTAGATTGATCAACAAATTCAATCGTTATTTAAAAGTAAAAAATCGATTAAAGCTAAAGGTGATGCACCAGTCTTACCAAATACATCAACTAATCAAAATGAAGAAGTTAGTGGTGTAACTACTATCAATGATACAGCATCAAAATTAGAATTAGCTAAGAAAGCAGCTGCTCGGTAAATATTAATTTATTTATGTTCAATTTGAATAGTAGAAGAATTTATTCGATTGTTTTTTGTTTTTCTAAGAAGAATCGTGAGCAATAACTTTTGATAGGAACAAGATAGAAGCTGAAGAAAATTGTTCTTTGTCGATCTACGAAAGGCCGACATTGCTAACTTATTCCGTTCGAGAGTTATAATGATTTTCTAGAACTCCCATTGTTATTTCAAGTTTTTCAAAGTTTCATAATCTGTCGCTATGTAACATAATAAGTCTATATGTCACAAGTATTGAGATAACAGTGTTAAATCATATAGATATATTGCCGTTCGACTCAGCATAGTGAATTACATTGGTGATTTCAGGTTAATTGATTGAAGTCGGAAACTCGAGAAAATTCTTATAACTCTTGAATGGAACAAGCACTAGCAATGTCGACCTTGTTTAGATCGAAAGGCAACAATTGTCCTATCTCGCTTGAAATGGATAGTATGATGATAATATAAAGAAAATTTTTTTGATTTCATGAAATTAAAATCAGTTTTTAACAATCGTTGAATAAGACGAACACTTAGGGGGGCAAAATCGTGTGAATCCTAGAGTCCATCGAGTCCGAGCCCGAAAATTTTGGACCCAACGGACTCTATGATTCGCTCGACAAAAATCAATTATCGGAATTAAGGTAAATGTATAAGATAATAGCTTGAGGTCTGATCTTTCGTAAAGGGCATGATTTTATATTTGACATCTCCGTTTTTTCAGGACGATTTTTGTTATTATCTGCTTAAAAAATACGCTCTTTTGATCACGCATCTCAGAATTTTCGAAAAACCTTCATGGTACCAACGCATAAGTGTATAGAATGAAAGTCCAAAAGGAACTATATCTGACCCTTGTTTATTAAATATCTCCCGAGAACATCATAGTATAGGGCTGAGAATTATACTGTAGCCTCTACACCACAACCCCAACATACCCTAAAAATTGTCATGTGATTTGAATGTACCTGGCTTAAGATCGATTTTTGAGAGACAAACCTTAAGCTATTCACAATAATATTAAAGCCACAACAAAAAAATAGATTGTCTGAACTTTACAAAATGATACCCGAAGTTGAATTGTTTTTAGAGATGTGCAAGGTAAAGCCCATCATTCTAGTCCCAGACTCGATAGGTTCTACACCGAACACAAAAACACCGGATAAGGTATCTCATATCTTCAATGCGACTGTTCAATATCGATTAGAGAATTTCATCGAGAATACCAAAGTACGGCTCGATCGAGCTTGGATTCAAAAATAAAGCTTACCCTGTACATCTCTAATTGTTTTCATATTAGTTCACTGATGAAATTAATATCATCCAAACTCGTTAGAAACTATCGATTAATGTTTTTTTGTTTTTAAGGCTTACATTTACTAAAACCGAAACTCGAGATTCTATACAAGAAGCAACAACTTCAATATTTCAACGTGGTGGTACATTAAATCAAGCCGTATCTGTAAGTATTTAAGAAATATTTTCGAATATTTATTATAGAATATATATATATATATATATATATATATATATGATTTGTTTTTATTTTAGAGTCGTATTGTAGCACAACAACGAGCTGGTGAATTAAATCAAAAATTAAATTATCAAAAACCCGAAGAAGAAATACAAGTTACAGAAGATGCATTTAAAATATTTGAAGAAGAATTAGAAATAAATGATTTTCCACAAAATGCACGATGGAAAGTTACAAGCAAAGTAAAAATAATATATAATCGAAATAGAATTTCATGTATTATTATTATTTTGTTTTTATTTTCAATATAGGAAACATTAGCACATATTTGTGATTATGCTGATGTTGGTATGTCTGTACGTGGTCAATATTATCCAAGTAATAAAGAAGTTGCACCGGGTGATAGAAAACTTTATTTACAAATTGAATCATTAACTGAACGTGGTCTACAATTAGCTAAAGCAGAAGTTGCTCGATTAATTAAAGAAGAAATGATGAAAATGGTAAGTTTGATAATTATATTTATAATTTTATTTGATCAAAAAAAAAAAACCATGATTTTTGTTTTTTGTTTTCTTTTTTTTATAGCAAAATCCAGCTCTACAACTTGTCAATCGTGGCCGATATAAAGTTGTTTAATTTATATTGTTCTTTTTCTCTCGGACACACTATTTTTTTTTGCTTCTTCTTCTGTGTTTTGTAAAATTGAATTTGGTCTCATTTTTTTTTGTTTCTTTTGGCTTGTCTATATATTGTCCATTCGTGGTTGATACTATGATATTAATCTAGTTGTCTATTAGAGAGATTACTACTACCACTACAGTTTGTTCTCCTATTAAATTGGACAAATCATTCGAAATGTTTTCAACATATTCATTAGCTCAAAAACAAAACAAACCAACAAACGTGTTTTGAATATGTTCAAATTAATGCTCAATGTCAAGGAAGTTTATCGATTATAAAATTTTGACTTAAATATAAACATAATAACTAGCGAACTTTCATGAAATAAACTATATGAAAAAAAATTCAGAATAATCAATGCTATATGAATATATAATATAAGAGTTTGTTCAATGTTGAAATCAGTCTAGCAAATCGTAAATTTCTCATCGTATAGTGTATGACGTAGAGTGATGGATTTAATGTGTAGTTTAGAAAATGTAACCTCTTCAGGTGTCGAGTCGCTTTCCTACAGACACGATTTTCATTTGATGAGTAGTTTCCTTTCTAAAAATGTAAATAGATGAGCAAATTTTATTTTTACACATGAGAGAATTTTGAATATTGAATATATCAGGATAGGAGATCTTAGACAAGTTACAACTTGCCTAATGACCCAATCTCATTGAGAACTTTGTTCATGCAAAGTTTGAAGTCGATTTTTCACATGACTTAAGGCTAGAAGCCATAGTGTCCAAGAATTTCTGGACCCAATGGGCTCTATCTGAGGCGGACAAAAAAACCCAGTAAAATGTTGATATCTCAAGAACGAAGGCTCAAAAAATAACACGTTTCATGTTTAATGTCTTTTGTGAAACGTCATTTAAAATGAGTGTTGAAGTATGTATAGAGGTAGGAATTTGGACCATTCCCTACCCAGAGACATGACAGACATGCTAGCAACGCCTCTTCTCTGCATCACAGACCGCGCATAAGTAACGTCTCGTTATAATATATCAATTACTTCCTTATTACATGTCTAGAGAATTAAGTAAAAAAGATGATGAAGAAATGCCTCTAAAAATAGACATGTGATTACCAACAGTGGGTACGTTGTATGTTACACTTAATCCCACAGAGATTGGGCTAACAGTTTTTAGAAGATATATGAAAACTCGATTTTTTTTTTGAAAATTAAGCCAAAATGAACATAATACTCTGTTCACTATACCAGAATTTGATGACGCATTTTTCTACTAAAGTAAAATCTCCCTATGTCAGCATCTCCTTATCTTGAACAGTGTATAGTCCGTGCAAGCGAATTTTGCTCGAAATCAGCACTTTCCTTATTCTGAACAGTGGCCGCTTATTTTTCTGATCCTATGAGCAACATATGTTCTATCAGTCATGTGTAGAACAACAAAAAGAGTGATGTTACGTGTAATGCGTTATAATAAACAATCATGGGACTAGAGCCCATCGGATTCAAAATTTTTGGACTCCAGATCAGGAATCGTTTCGATAAGTTCTACATAGAACACTTCTAAAAAGCGGATGGAATAGCTGCAATCAATTCATTTTGGCGAGTCACACTTGGGGATGTTCCATCAAGTCGAACACGCACGCTCATAAACGCTGATATGTTGGCGTTTTACATGGTTCCGTATTATGATTGTATATAGCCTCTGTTTTACTTCGTATCTTGCTATAGTAGGATTTATACTCTTTCGATCATTTAGGATTAGTTAATTATTAGCAAGTCAAGGTCAAAGTTGACTTAAAGTATTATTTCTGCACAAACAATAATCTATCATATTCAACATATAGCGCCATCTATAAACAAAAATCACAATTGAGAAAATCCTTACATATTTTGTTCATAGTTTGACTTAAACTTTTTTTAAGATTTAAAAAACAACGAATTATTTTTTCTAAAATACATGGCTTTTTATTGTTTGATTTGTTATAAAATAATCAATCAGAAACTATCTACGATAGATAGATATTTATGTTTCTTTTCTATTTAATTGCGCATAAAACAAAAATCAAAAGAAACGAAATGTTTTATCAAGGTGACAGTTTTTAAAAGTAAAAATAACTAAAAAGCACTTCAAATATTTACATTCTTACAAATATGAGTTCAACAATTAATGAAAAAGCTGAAGTAGATGCACTTATTGCTCAATTAAGTTCATCAAAGGATTATGATAAAAAAAATGCAACTAATATAAGTAGTAGTCCCGATGCTATTTCAACATCATCAGAACGTAAACGTATATACATACGTCAAAATTCGGGATCAAATTCTAATGCACAATTTGCTGGTTCACCAACAGATACGCAAAAACGTTTATTACAAAAAAATGCTAAAATTTCAAAGAAAAATGATCGTAAATCACGACAAGGTTTGTTTATTGAAAATAAAAATAAAAACTGTTATTTAAAGAATTTTATTTCGTTTTTTTTTTTCTTTCTTAAATAGGCAAAGGTCGTGGTTTAGCAAAAAAAGGTGGTGCCGGTGGACATTTCACATGGGGTACATTAGGTTCTGAAATACTTGATGAATATCATGAAGATTTTGATGAAGATGATTTATTAGATTTACAATATAATCAAGCTAAAGAGAAATATATTGCTGAATCATCAACAACATCAAAAGATAAAAAACGAAATCAATTACAAACAATTGAAAATTTTGATAAAGATATTAAACCAATAATTGATGAATATTTTGTTAATGGTGATGCTAATGATGTAGCACAATCATTACGTAAATTTAATTTAAAACAACATGGAGATGGAGAATTACTTGCTTACATAATAACAATAGCATTAGAAAAATCAAGTGTTCATAAAGAATTAATATCACGTCTTTTACATGATCTTAATGGTATTGTTTTCCGTGCAAATGATTACATTAACGGTTTTGATACTATATTCACAACATTAAGTGATTTATCACTTGATAATCCCGAATGTTCAACTGATATTGGTAAAAAAACAAAAATTCTTTATTTTATTTTAAATATTTAGCATGCTTTTGTTTATTTCTATTTTTTGTTTTTTTGTCAATAAAGGTAAATTCATTGCACGATCAATTGCCGATAAATGTATTGATAATACAAATGACAAATATTTTGGTCGTTATAAAGGCAATGTTAAATGTCCAAAAATGCAAATCGCTCTTGATAAAGCTGAAACACTTATATTAATGAAAGATTTTTATTTTCTTAATAATGTTTGGGGAGCTCAATCAAGTATGTTCAAACAAAAAGAAAAAAGAACGAATATTAAAATTAATAAATATTTTATATTTTTTTTAGGTGGTTTTAGACCTGTAAGAGAACTAGCTGATAAAATGAATTTAATTATTCATGAATATTATGATAGTGGTGATGCAAATGAAACAATTCGATGTTTAAAAGAATTAAATGTACCACATTTTTTTCATGAATTTGTTTATGAGCTTATAGATTTTTGTTTAGAAAAAAATACTGAACGGTTAGTTAATTTATTCATATAGAATTTTATCGATTTCAAATAGATTTAAATTATATACATAAATATTAGAGATTGTAAAAAAAAAACTTCGGAGCAGAAAAATTTTAAAGAATTATTATAACATCGACTTTTTAATTAAAGACAATAATTTGTCCAATCTGAAACATTACTACGAAATGAGTCTATCGATTAAATTTATCTTATTAAAAATTAAATTACTAATAAATATTTATGTTTAATTTTAATATTCTATTTTTCAGTGCTGAACAATTAACAATATCTTTACTTGAAACATTAACAACAACTACTATCATTACATATGATCAATTAAAAACTGGCATATTACGTTTATTTGACGATATTGAAGATATACAATTAGATGTTCCAAATGCATATGAACAATTACAAAGTCTTCTTAAACAATTAGAAGGAAAAAAAGTTCTTAATCATGATATAACATCAAATATTCCACAAAAAGGTCGAAAACGTTTAACAAGTGGAGGTGAAAATAATAAATAAAATTAACTAAACAAGACATTTTCTAATAAAGGACATAGAATTGTTAATAACTCTTCTTTTCTTTTTTTCTTTTTTTTTTGTAAATTCAACTAACTATATTAAACAATGATTTTTTTTCCGCATATAAAAGCACCATTCAATGATGACAACGCAATAGATTAACGTATATTATTTTTCTTTGTATACATATATATGCCTAAATTCTTTCTTTTTTCTTGTGTCTGGCCAAATTATTTTCGTCAGAACTTCTAGATTATTTATTTTATTGTTCTATTCATATAATAAACGAGCCTCTTTTTTTTGTTTCACTTATATTTGTTTTATTATGAGAATGAAATTTTATAGTATAGTTCATTATATCAATTCTAGTTAGAAATTCAATAATTACAAATTCAAAGATTTAATTATATAAACAATGAATTTCTATTTTCTTTTTTGAATTATCCCATAGAATAATAACAATAATGGAATTATCTTTCTCATAATTGATAATTGTTTATAAATATAAATAACAATTCTATTCAAAAAAAAAAAAAAAAGAAAGCTTTTCGTGTTGATTTATTCTTCATTAAAATATAGCGTGTTAAATAAAGAGTATATTTATTTGAATTTTATCAAACTAATTATTCTTCAAGTAAGAAAATATGTCAAAATGATTTATTAATCGAGAGTAGTTTGTCTTTTTTTTTTGATATTTTTCATTATTACTATCAATTTCATTTTAGATTTATTTTTAAATATAGTGAATATTGATTAAAATATAAAATAAATCTTTCATAGATGACTTATTTTTCAAAATAAAAAAAAAAATTATTAAATAAGATATTTCGAAAACGATGATACTGGTTTCTGTATTGTATCAATACATAATGAAATATATATATATATATATATTTATTGGTATGTAATAGAATAATTCTTTTTGACATATTGTTATTACATTTAATAAAATTGTGCAAATATCGATAAAACATATAAATTAATTTATAATTTGTATACATACGATAGTTCGTATATTAAAAGTATACTCCATTATTTTTTTTTTGTTAATATAAAATCATATTTTCTAAATGATATCAGTTATTTTACAGTAATTATCGTCATACGGTAATGAGATCCATTAGGAAATCTGTTGTAAACATTACATATAATAGAAATGTCTAGCTTTTCCTAGCCTTAAAAAAACATATGTCAATATAAAAATAATTTATTCTTCCATCACAAGGTAACAGTGGAAAAATTAAATACAGTCTTACCCATTTTGTGAATTGTGTTATATTTTCATTATGTTTGTCGATGACAAATAATTTAAGATTTAAATTCTTTATTGAAATTCTATTGTCAGAATTTCAGTTAATTCTAATATATTCTAGAGAACAATTGGAATTAGAAAAATACTTGCCATTAGAGTTTTGTGGAGTCAACCGTCTTGATTCCGAAACCTTTTTCTTTCGACTAACATAAATACTTCTTTTTTGTACTATTTGTTGATGAGAATGTTTCTCTGATGTTTTGTTTCCTTGAAACTTATGAAGAAACCTATAGAGTAATTGTATGTTTGCTTATTATTTAACATATGAAGAATAAACTTGTGACTATGTAAGTATGAAAATACTTAAATTTGTTTTTCACTAATATATTTGCGACATTGACTTCAAAAAAAAATTCTTTTAGTGGCAATGGTTCCGATGTTGAACTCTATTTGCTATAAGAATAGAAATTTGTCTTTTTTCTCCAGACAAGAAATCATATAAATGAAATAGCGTGAGTTAAAATCTTCTATTCTCACTTCTTAACGCTAATTCTCTTTTTCTTTAATCGATTTAATAGAATTTTTCAAACGATATTATAAAAGATGAATTTTATAAATCAATGGAATAATTAATTTGCTTTTTTTTTCTTCTAAAACTCATTACCATTTAGATGATTGATTGATTCTCAAAAACAAAAATACATCATGAATTATTCATCATTACACTTCCTTTTCTTTGTTTTTTTTTTTGAAATTAAACTCATATATTTGATTTATTTATTCCGATTTTTGAGTTGTGATAAAAAGAATAAATCTGTAATGCACAACTAAATCATATAAACATCAGACTTATAAATGATTCCATTGAGGTTAAATCATAGTGAATCCCATACATAATAACCTACTTATAAAATCTGTAAATAACCTTCAATCATATGAAAATATGTTGCACACTATAAAAGACCATAGAAGGTCTTTGAAAAAATTTCTTTCAAATCAAAACACAAGAATCATTCACAATAGAAGAAATTCATTTATAATAATGATTTTCACTCTTTCAAATCGAATAAGTATGAAAACCTTCAATTTAAAGTATAGTAGCAGAGTAAGAAAATATTTCTAAAGCAAAGAAAAAACCTCAACTATTAATGATCATTTATTTTATTTTTTTTTCATAAAAAAACATTTCTTACAATGTTTATATACGTATGATATTAAATAAGAACGTAGATGTAATTGGGAGAGGAGTAAGTCATCTTATCGTTTGCATTGACAAACGAGAGAAAGAAAAAGAAAAAATCGAGACATCTTATTAAGATTTATATGGTTGTTTGACGACAGTCTAATACTACTAAAAAAGAAAAGCGAAAGGCATAAAGATATACATAGACAAATAGGGCGAATACATGCATGCATGTCATTTGACCTATTTATATATATATATTGATTGAGGCTAGTGACATGACCATTATTTAATTGTTTTTCTTTACTTTACTATTGATTATTAAGCGGAAATAAATTTTTGTTTCAAAATAATGTCATGTTGTACTTTTACTTTGATGACATTGTTTTTTTTTCTTTCGGGTACGTAAAATATTTGAATGTTACATTATATATAAATATCCGTAGGGAAACAAAAAAAAAGAATAAAATGTTACAATCAAATTTGAAATAAATGATATAATGTATATATTAGAAGAGAATATGTGTATATTTAATAAATTTCATATTGTTTATCCGGATACATTAAATAGTATGATTGATAATAATAATCGTTTGGATTATTTAGAGTGCATTTATTGAGGTAAGAAAAAAAACGTAATAAAAGAAAAGAAAAAAAAAAAGAAATCGCTTATTTTTTTGTTTCTCTTTTTCTTTATTTATTCACTTTTAGTTGTTTTTTTTTTTCAATATCGAAGCTATTGAGTATTGTCATAAAAGCGTAAATGCAACTACGTTGTTTTTTTTGTTTTTTGAATACTGAATTATATAATAAATATTAACTAAATCATTTTCGTTTTCTTCAGATAATGTAATTTATTTCTTTGTGTATTTTGTCAATTATGTCCGTCCTTTTATCATCATCATCATCAACAACCAATACTCATCCTTCTTATTTTCCTCCTCCTCCTCATCATCATCATATTAATGGAAATTTTTCTCCAACAACAAAATCAATATCATCTATAAATCGTTTAACATCAAAATTAAATGAAAATAATAATGGAAATATGGAGAATGATCATGTACCATTTGGTGTTGTTAATTCAATGAAACAACGTTTACTTGATAAAGCAAATGAATCATTATTATTAAATAATAATTCAACATTTAATCGTTATTCATTATCAAAACCACCACCATCACGTTTATCATCAAATGAAAATTTATTTCAAACAAAATCATCAATATCATCATTAAAACATACAACACGTTTATCATATAGTCAAGATAATTTATTAAATAATAATAATAATAATACAGAACAATTTACATCATATTTACAACCAAAACAAGATGTTATTATTGTTGAAAGAACAAAATCAACTGATGAAAATATTTCAACATATCGACATTCATATACAGAATTACATATGGATGAAGTACCAAAACCTGGTATGTAAAAAGTCTATATGAGATATTCGAAATCATATAATGTTAATATTTGTTTTTAGTTAGTAAATTTATTTTAATCTATACCGAATATCACGAGTAATTTGTTTTGTTTTTCGAGACTCATGTGAGAATCTTTCCAGGAGTCAGATTGCTTTTTGACCGAGATGATGTTCATTTAATGAGTAATAGAAAAGTCTACAATGGTTTAGTTTTTCTGTTCTTCATTCTTGAGATATCTAAATCTTAGTGGATTTTTTGTCCGCTTCAGATTACGTGGAAAATCGGCTTTCGACATCAAAGATAAGAAATGCTAGGAAAGCTACAACTTGCTCAATTAATTAATCTTATTAAGAACTTTGTTTATGCAAAGATAGATTAATACAAAAAGTGTCCCTCTGTCTAATGATGCATTCATTATCAAGTCCTATTGCGAACTGCTCAGATGTCAATGGGAAGGCGTCAGCTTCGTACTATTCGAATGTAGTCACAGTAAAAGTAGCGCCCTCTATTGACGTTTTGATGATACGCAATAAAACTTGATATACGTGCATCATTAGATAGAGGAAAGAACGGTGGCTCGAAAAACCAAACCTTTCTAGACTTTTCTATGACTCATCAAATGAGCATCGTCTCAGTCAAAAAGAGGAAGTTGACATTTGAAGAAGTTCTCTTGTCAGCTAGAGATCATTTATAAGGCCTTAAATTAAGAAAGCATGAGCGTTCCTTTATATAGTGTTTTATAAGTCTTCAGGCACGACAAAATTAGTTTATATGTAGATGGAAAATAATTCCTAATCGAATGTTTTTTTACATGAGCGTCGAGTACTCATGTCATTCTTTCAAATGACATATTATTTGATAATATCTTCTTTTGTGATCATCAAAATGTTAATGTAAGAACGCAAGGATAACGGATAGGAGCCCATAAGAGTTGTTTTTGTGCCATCCTCAATTTTCCTCCTTTCATAATTTATCTAATATAGAATTTCACGGAGAATCGTTTGATAACAAAATAAAATGATTTCATATGTGTATGCAGACCTTTCGTCCTCAAATTATTAATATTCATGTGTGTACTATAATTCATGAAACGATCACTCGTGTAAAGTTTACTATGTTAACATATTTTCAAATGAAAACTATATCAATCAACTATTCATTCCATAGTCTATCTATAGTAAAAACTTTAGCTTGATCGATTGAACTGTTGTTGAGTAATAACGTAAATATTGTTCCCAACGAACATGAAAATCATATGGTTAAATTATCATTTCTGCTCATTGCTGTCTTAATATCTCGAGAAAGAAAAAAAACTACCATGGGCTTGTGATTGATTCTGAAAGTTCCTAGGAAGGGCTAAAAAAACCAAACACTTTTCGATTTTTTTAGTGGTAGCCTTTGTTAAATAAGACAATTCTTTTTTGCATTCTTCGCTTGTCTTTAACAGATATTGATTGGAAAAAGTAGGTTTTGAGTCACAACTAATAACATATTTGAAATCAACATTAAAAAACTTATGTGTGTTATAAAGTTTTTCAACGAGTTTTTTTCTTTTCGAAAAATTTCAGTTGAAGTTCTCTTGAGTGAGTGTTCAATCAAAAAATTAATTTAATTAGATTATGATTTGATCAGTGGAAAACAAGCTCCGAGTCTGTAAAAAATCACTGCGATACAAAAGAACAAAGAACTAACCAATAAAAAAATAGTGTTTTGATTAAGTTCAATTTTTGACTGTGGGTCTTGAGGGGAAGATCCTAGCTGAATTTTTCGAGAGAAAGAAAAGTTTCTCCAAAATCTTCGAAACATATATAAAAGTCGACTCAGTTTTTCATATTAATTGTGAATATGTTATTAGTTTCGAGTCAATGCCCACTTTTTTCATTCTGTATCTGTTAAAGACAGACGAAGAATGCAAAAAAATTGTCTTATTTAACAAAGGCCACCACTAAAAAAAATCAAAAGGTATTTCATTTTCTAGTTCTTTCTCGATAGATTAAGAAAATAATGAGTAGAAACGAAGAAAAATAATAATATAGCTATATAATTTTCATTTGAAAATACTTTAGTACAGGAAAATTTATACGAGTGGCCGTTCTGTGAATAAATCATCCATCTATGATACCAATGTGATTGTCAATAATTTGAGCAAAAAAGCATCTGAATCCTTCAAAGATCGTTTTATTTGTGATACTTATGCGCTTCTATTCTATATCCTCTCGCATTCTCATATTAATAGTTTTATAATCATAATAAATGATATTATCGAATAATATATCATTTGAAAGAATGACACGAATACCCAACGCTCATATAAAAAAAAACATTCAGTTAGAAATTATTCTCTGTCTGCATATAAACTAATTTTGTCGTGCCTGAAGACTTCTAAAACATCCTGAATCAATATGATCATAATAATCAACGCGATCTATTTCAAGGTAGTCTTTTTTGCCAGAAAATCCATTAATCAGTTCATTTAGTTTTAATTAATATTCTGCTTGCTTTTTTAGCCATTTAAGTACCTTCATATTCTCTATGTATATATATTTAATTTAAATATAATATCATTTAATACAATGTTTTCATTTGATGACGATATATCAAATGAAAATTTATAATTAGTTCATATAGCTCTATTATTATTTCTTTGTTTTTTTTGTCTGAATAGGTACAGTTACAACTGTTAAAAATATGTTCGAACGACAAATTCGTTTAAGTCGATATGATAGTGATAAATTACCAAATACATTATTACCTAATAATTCACGTATAAATAATCAACATCGAGAAATTTTAAGTCCAAGTCGTTCACGTAGTATATCACCAAATGATATGGCTTTACGACAACGACGAGCAACAACAATATATTCGTCAAATCTACCATCAACACCATTATCATTACCTGTAACAACATTATATCCTGATGTTGTTATATCACATACACCACCGACATCAATGCATATTGAAACAAATAAAATTATTAATGAACAATCTGTGTTAAATATACATAATGAAAATAAGAAAAAAACTTTTCCATTGAATATTATTACTGATGAAACTACAGTTAATAATAATAATAATAATAATAATAATGATAATCGTCCAAATCTTTTACTTCCAACAACTTCATCGTCAGATACTAGTGATTATCAACCACTTGATTTCAAAAGTCGTTTAGCTTTATTTAATCGTACAAATACAATTGAACGATCGAATGTAAATTCTCATGTTTCGACAAATATAAAAAAAACTTCAAATCATAATAATTCTGTTCCATCACCGCCTAATTTTTTAACAAAACCAATTGTTCATCATCATTATTTAGAAAAAAAAGATATTTCAGTAGATTCAATTGTTCATTCAGTTGCTAATTCAACTAAATCAGTAACATTTTTTGGTGGATTAAAAATAAATAGCAATGTTCAATCAACTCTACCAGCTTCAATAATTCCACCACCATTATTAATTACTAAAGATGAACAGTCATCTATATCAACATCTGTTGATTTACTTCATGCACCAGATGTTATTGGTGGGGATGTCAAATTAAGTAAATCATCTATTTTTTCAGGAACGAAAAAGGTATTAAGAGAATTTCTATTAGAATTTATTTTTCTATATTTATGCAATTTAGGATGTTCGAGTACAATTTATTGATAATGTTGACACATTTGAATATCCATCATTTACTGTAGTAATGGCTGAATTTGGTAATACTGATTCAGATGATGATGATAATGACGATGATGATGATGAGAATGATCTGTCAATTGAGAACGATAAAAATTGTATGAAAAAATTTCCTATAGATGAAAATATAAATGATCAAATTGATGATGTTGATGATGATGAACTTGAACGATTGGCAAGTATTAATGCAAGATTTAATTCAAACAATCTCAATGAAGAACCATTACAATCGAAAGGTATAAATCTCAAAAGATTTCTTCCTACGCTCTAACTACTATGCCATATATGTATATAATAATATGCAAACGCCTTTCTATTGGTCTCAAGTGATGTTTTCTTTTTCTTTTCTGATTTTCCTTCATTTATTTCTCCATCATACAACTTTCTACTATCTTCCCATGAGTTTCTCCTATTACGATAGTATGAGTGCATTGTATAGAAAGTTTGATTTTGTCATTCCTCGTTAACAACATCACGTTTTACAAAAAAGAAAAAAGATAAAGCAAGAAAAATAACAGATGTGAATAAAGACAGGAAAAAACACAGTAAAACAACGACAAAAAAAAGCAAAAGACTATCGACATAGAGAAATGAAATCAAATGGTTAAAATGCATCATTAACTCTATGTAAAGATCAAATTCTTTTTTTTTATTATTTAGGTACATTACATACATTTCGTCCAGCATATATTGATCAATATGAATTAGGTACACAAAATAATTCTTTAACAAATTCCGATTCGTCAGATAGATTTTCTCGTGAAAAATATTTTTCTTCATCGACTAATTTTTCAAATCATTCCACGTTAAAACAAGAAAAATCAATGTTTGATAGGACAAATAATATTCAATGGAGTTCCATGTCAACAACTACTGATTTACTTTTTTGATTCATCTTTTTTCTTTTTTGGTGTTCTTCGCTATTGTAATTAATCATTTTTCAATGAATTATATTTAGATTGTGTGTCAGTCAGAATGTACGCTGCTTCTTTTTTTAAATGAAATTATTTGATGCGCATGAACAAAAACTGTTCTTGGGTGGCTTTACATTTTTCTTTTGTGAGAATAGATTCTTTCTAGATCATGGCCGATAATGACGATGAATATAATCAGTTTTTACAAACACATCAATTACAACTTGTTTTGAATAATATTCCAAAACATTTTTATCGACGTTTATATGAAAAAATGAAAAATGAAATATTTGATAGTGGTTCATATTTTCAAATATGTCCAGTTGATGATGATGATGAAGAATTAGAAAAAACATTTAATCCTGAACGTCGTTTTTATGTTTCAACACTTGAAAATGTTGTACTTGATCCAGACAATGATGAAAATGCAATATTTCTTATTGATCATGCTTGGACGTATAGAATAAATGATGCAAGAAATAATTTAAAATCGATTCCAAATTTATATGAACGTATGGCATCATTAATGAACGTTAATTCGGAAACAAAAGATGATGGTATTGAATTAATATTACAACGTATGTGGAAATTTAATCAAACATATGCATTAGCATCTGCACAAATCAATCCACATCCAGATGCAGAAATAGTACAAGCACCTTATTGGTAAGTAAAACACAAAAGAATTCGAAAAGAAAAACAATCTATAAATATTCTTTTTTTTCCACGACGTGAAGTCCTTTGTGTCAAAATCGTATGTACCTTCTGTGACATTCTTCTTTCTTCTTAGAATTATCATAAAACATTATTATTTGTTATTGTATTAGTAATCATCACATATGAATTTGCAATGAACTCTAATGAAAATTGAGAATCTCAATATATAGACCTATTTAAGAATAGTAAAATCTATTATTTCGTCTATAAGTTCACAACATAATTACTTAACATTCGATAAAACAAGAAATTGAATTTCAACAAAAGAAAAATGAATTTTCGTTTTTTTCATTCGTTTAGGTATGTAATGGATGAGCTTGGTTCATCAATACGTCATTCAGATACCAATGCAAATGTTTGTTGTACGTCTTTTTTCTTTGTACCAACTCAAACAATGTTTACATTACTTTATCCAATTGTTCGTATTGAACAACCATATACTGAAATTTTTCGAAATTTTGTTGATGATAATAGTAGTATACTTATTCGAAATATAAAATTATTACCATGGCATCGTGTTCATAATCGTAAAATAATTCTTCGTAATTTAACAATTGAAAATTGTCCTGAATTATTTTCAAAAAATCTTCAAAATAATAAAGAAATATTTGAACAATGTTATAAAAATGATTTATATGATAAAATACCAATGAAAATTGAATTAAATAAATTTGATAAAGATTATATTTGGAAAGTTTATACAGATCATAATCTTATTAAACAATATTTAACTGATCAACATTATCAATTAATTGATAATCTTGATCAAGTTGATATTATATTTACAAAAAAACAAATTCTAGATTTTCGTCATGAAACATTACAGAATTTATTAATTAATCAATTTCCATTTGAAAATGTCTTGACAAATAAAGAATTATTAGCATTAACAGCTAGACGATGGAAATCATTATATGGGTATGCTTTATTTTTCTTTTATTCCGAATAAATTTAATCAGATATCAATTGTTGAATAAAATACAAAAAAAAAAGATTTTTTTTTTCTAATTAAAATAACATAATTATTTAATAATTTAGGCAAAAAAAATAAGCTTTCAACAAAATGAAATTCTAGGTGAAGTAATAGATGAAAAAGTTTTCTCAAGATGTGTGTGAACTAATTCTAACCAATTTTCTCTTGGGGATACTTCTTTTTTTTTTATCAAGAAATTCTATTACTATGTAAAATTTTTCTAGTTCATCATCAACAATAATTGAAAATGATCCATACATTAAATCACATGGAAGTCCACCATGGTTACCGATAACATTCAATCTTATTCATGAATTACCTCAATTTGGTGCTTATTTTCAAGTAAATCTTTATTGATAGTTTTTGTGCAACACGACCTAAAAAAGTGTTCAAGTAGAGGGATAAAAATTTGGATCAACTCACCACAGATCATTACGGATCGTGACAGGTATCTTAGCAACACCCACCCCCTTTTTCTTCGAATCACAGGTATTAATATATGACCACAGAAGATATATCAATAACGTTTGATGTCATCTATGAGAATCTTCGGAAAATTGATTAAGTGCCATTACGGGCGATATAGGAGATATTGCATGAACACATCTACACCTTGCGCTAACAGCTTTTTTTTAAACTTATTTAGTATTGTGAAGATCACCAAATTGATAATACTTGGATAGTTAAACCAATAACTTTAACACGTTCACTTGATATATCAATCACAAATTTATTTGATATGATTATTCGTTTACCAGAATCAAGCTCAAAAATTGTTTGCAAATATGTATCGAATCCAGTTTTACTTAAAATACCTGAAATTGAAGATAATGGAGTAAAATTTGATATTCGTTATATACTACTTTTACGTAGTGTTCGACCATTAAAATTATATGTTCATAAAATTTTTTGGCTTAGTTTTGCAAATAAATCATTTTCAATGAAAGAACTCGATGATCATGAAACACATTTTACTGTAATGGATTATCGAGTAAATACACATATAAGACAAATAGATTGTGAAACATTTATAACTATGTTTAATGAACAACATGGTGAAACATGGTCAACTATTGAACAACGTATATTTGAAATGTTTCGAGAAATATTTCATTGTG